TGGTTTTAGTATAGTATAGAATCGTAATGTGAGTCCGCACAATTGAGCGATTCCAGTCGGCCGACTGAATAATCAGAAACAAGTTGGGTAGGCTTTCCAATTCTGATTCAATTACAAAGTTGGACAACTATCGCCTGTTTTTATTCAGACTGTGTGTTTATGAGAGTGCGCAGACTCACCAACTAAACAGTCGGTGCTTGCAGACACTCCACTCTACATTCCATTGTTGAAATCTGATATCAAATATTATCTAGTACCTACTTTATCTTTGAATAAATTTGCGGTTCATTGCATTTTTTTTTTCATAATTATGTCGAATATTGCCGAATGTTCAGTAGGAAATTTAATTGCAGAAGTTGTGCGCACAGGTATTGTGCGTCTTAAATTTGTATCTTGCTTCATAATTAGTGGTCCGACTAGTCTAACAAGTTCATTAAAGACGGTTATGCTCATTCTATAGTAAGCGAATAACATTTTTGGATATTCCAGCAGCTTAGGATGGAGCGTGTAGAACATTCCTTGAACTAACCTATCACTTAAAACAGGGTGCACCCACCATTCACGGTTTCTTTTGCTTGTTTTCTTCATATTTCTTCTTCGGGCAATGATAATTGCAATAATAGCTTTCCTCGATAACATTCTTCAATACTTTCAATACAACGTGTCAAAATAGTATATACATCAACAACTGTTCAGACTTTTCAGTTGGTGGTCTGCGCACCCGCACCGAACCGAACAGTTTTGTTTGAGTAGTGTGCCCCCACCCAACGCAACCAGACTAAACTATCGGCCGATAAAAAGTCTGTAGTGTGCTCTTGCCCTTAGCATCCAATTGTTTTTCAGTCCATTTCATTTCAATAGGAGAATTGCATCCAATATATAAAACATTAAAAATCTTTAAAAATACCGTTTATAAACATTTCTGTCAATTAGCGGTTCATCCGCCCATGAGCATCATCGGAAGTCTTCTACAGCTTTGAGAGCACGCTTAATAATAGTAATAATCTGAGGACCAAATTTATTATGTCAAAAAAATATGGGATAAACACAACGAATAATCAGATACCAATTAACAAGTTTGTTCACGAATTGTTTGGCGCTTCAAATGTTTACTACTCGAGAAAATAAAATATAGCGGAGACCGGGGCAAGATGAAGTTCGGGGCAAGACGGGAAGTGAGCTTATGTGCGTGACTAGTTATCGTGTTTGGACTGACGACGGCGCCATTTGCACTCTCCGCCAGTGCATCTGAGCAGAGCGAACTCGTTTTTGCGTTGCTGAAAGAATAATTAATGTTGCAAGTGTTTCCATGCAGTTTTTGGTTCAGAAACTGATGTGCAGACATGTAAGTACCTGAGTTAATATAATGTTTAAATCCTAACCTCATTGTAGTAGTATAAAACTTTGAATTCACTAGATTTTTTTGCTGGTAATGCTTGAGGTTAGAATTGCTCCAACTTATTGAAATACATGTGGATCAGAGCACAATGATCGGGGCAAAACGGGATTGTCCTGTTTTTTCCCGTCCTTGTGGTTAAAATGATATTTTTTGTGTATTGATAATATATTTTGTGGTGACTTCTACTTTGGAAAGATTCAAAAATACCTTTGTTCATGCATTTTTTGTACATTCTGTACTTTCGTAACTGCTAGCAGTAGCTAACACATGCCCATCAGTTTTTTATTTCAAGTTATTACAATTATCCAATTAATCAGAATCACATGTGAAATAATTTGAATATCTATGAAAGTATGAAGATGCTATTTTTTTCACAGGTTAAATGGTCCGCAACTATAAACGAAAAATAGATCGTTGCAAATGGAATGAATAAGACATGAGGAGAGCAGTAAATGGTGCTCTTACTAACAAGATGGGATTTCTTCGAGCCTCAGCTATATGCGACGTTCCGAAGTCGACCTTAGAACGCCGAATAAGAGAAGCTTGTGATAGTGTTGATGCCGACATTGATTACAATAATAACTACAGGAAAAAGCATCAAGGACCTTCCAAAACAGTTGTCACAACAGAAAAAGCAGATGAGCTGGCGCAATATGTGAAATCTGTAGAAGCACGGCTTCTTGGTTTAACGGGAAAAGAGCTTCATGTAATCGCTCATCGGTTAGCTCAGCGAAATCACATAGCTAACCCATTTAATATAGAAACTGGTATGGCAGGAGAAGACAACTGACAAGAAACACCCAGGGAAGAAGCGTCAACCCGAAAGGCGTAAGAAAGAAATTGAATTGAAATATGGCTCATCCCAAGAAGAGGGTGATGACTGTGCTTACATCTATTGTGGATACTCAGAGGCAACCGAAGATTGAGTTATCTGCAGCGTGTGCCATAGTTAGGCACATAATCCATGTGCCAGAGTAGATGGGGAAGACGAAGATACAGTTGATGCAATCAGTGTTTGTTCTATAAAAAAGGGCGATAAGATATATATGTAGAGCCAAGCGTTTGGACCACTGTATACTAACAATCTACTGCATTTTCATTCTAGAAACAGTATGTCTAATTCAAATGGAAAAAAATACTTTTCCTTCCGAAATAATATATAACACCCGGCAAAATTACAATAAACCTCTGCAAAAGCCAACTTCAACATTAACAAGAAATTCCATTATATTTGAGAGTCGGAAGATATTCAATCATCTACCAAATGAAATGAAAACTGTAATAGAGTCAAAACATTCCGAAGGAACTTTTACTCACGAAAGCATATTATAGCTTAGAAGAATATCTTGAAGATACCTGAACCCTTGAGGTCGAACCGAGTGATTTATTTATTTTATCTATACAAATAAATCAATTCTTAACTGCTTTATAGAATCTTATGTCCTGTCTACATGTAGCGTTAGAATCTATATTATTCCATTGTTACCGTGAATTGACTGTTTTTTTATTTATTCAGCTTTTTTTTCTTTGACAATAAAGTGCATTTTTGATTTGATTGATTGATTTGATACACATATTTGTGAACGCTGTCTGCCCGATTGTGTACTCGTTTTGCCCCTTGCGTTTCCCGTCTACCCCGGCTATGGGACAAAACGCAAAATTTGCCGAATATATATTTAACATTATTTGTCAAAAAAGTTCTATGATTTTGCATGCTACAACGTTTGATTATGAGAGGCAAAAGTTTAAGTGTTATCTCTTCTGTTCAAGAATTTCATTAAAAGAGTTTAATTTTTTTTATATAACGAGTTTTGTCTTAGCTACATCATCTTGCTCTGGTCTCCCCTATTGACATGATATGACAATTCCAATAATCAACAGCTCAACACTTCATCAATCAATCCTGGTTTGGATTGTTGCCTCACGGTTAGCAAGTTAATAATGTTATGTGGATAAAAGTTATTTTAATCTTTAGTAACCGGGTGTCACACTATTATTGTAAGTTTTATCATTTCTATTCTACGACATAGATCAGAATCTTGACGCAAAAATAATTGTCATTAAATTTTCATGTATACATCTAGTCATCTGATTCATCAATTCATTTGCTTTACCACGTCGGTAGGGTAGACTGGGTACGAGTTTAACAATATTCTTTCAATTGCCCACAGCACAACTGTATTTTCTGAGGTATGTTGTTTTTGAAAAATTGGGAAAACATGCCTCATGTGTGGGCTCTGACACATACTGATTGCACCGGGCCAGAGTTTGATACCTGGATTTGTGATTTTTGTATATAATTAGCCAACAAATAAGAAAAAAAATTGTGACTAATATTATAATGGCTATACATGAGAGCTTGAAGCATCTTGACTGAGACTTCAACATCAAAAATTTTCCTTCACGTAAACATTTTGAGTTATTGTTATTTTTATTTCATACAAAAACTGTTACATATAGGAAATAAGATCAAAACAAGAAAAAAAAATATTTTGAGGATAACAGACTTTATTTACAATACACATGAAAAAACATTCAAATGAAGTCTTTTGTGCATAACCTTTTTGCAAATGTTGACTTTCGTTTAAATGTTTCATCGTTTTTCCTCACAAGGAACCAACAATGATTCCCCATCAATACTGCGTCCCATCTGCCTTGGTAACGTTGCTCCATTGTCAATATGTCTTGTTGAAACCTTTCCACTTGTTCGTCACTGACAGCACCCAAATTTTCTGGGAAAAATTCAAATGGGAGTGCAAGAAATGGATTTTGAGAGACATGCGACATTCCATTCTGCAGTAGTTTTCAAGTAGTTCTTTTACAAGTGTTTCGTATTTTCTACTTGCTTGTTCCCTAAAAACTCCAAAACAATTCTTTTGAAAGAACTCCACGAAGCTAATTCAACATTACTTAATTTTTAATCAAACTGTTAATCACTTAGTAGTTTTTTATCTTGTGGTCCAACAAATATACCTTCCTTGAGCTTTGCATCACTTAATTTTTGAAAAACGTGTTTAAAATATTTAAACGCATCACCTTCTTTGTATAATGCTTTTACAAAATTTTTCATTAACCCCAGTTTAATGTGTAATGGAGGTAACAAAACGTTTTTGGGTATATAACAAGAGGTATATTCTTCATGTTAGCCTGACCGGAAATATATTTATCTCTCGGGGCCATTCTTTTACTTGAAAATGGCTCTGTGTTGCCCTGCTATGTTCCGAAGGCAAAGAAAATAGCAAAACTTCATAAATCCGCCCTGAAAACCTAGTAATAGTCATATGACTCAAAGGTCACCACATATTTGCCACTTATACGTATTATAACTTATTGCATTTAGAATAAGTGACATAATTTCGTGTATTTCCTTCATGGCAACTGCATGTGCAAGAGGAATAGAGGGTCTTTTGTTATCATTATGGAGCAGAACGGCTTTTAAACTTGTTATGTGCAAATCCTAATTTTTTCATCACACCATTTGGGTTTACACAAACACACATTTTATCCTGCATAGTAAAAAACTAAGATAGCTCATGGTTACGGTTCCTAAATATTATAACTTTGGTTTTAGGGGCTAGTAAATTCCATTGTTGTAATCTTGACCTTACTAGTTCAGCATTCTCTTTGGACAAGTGGAGGTCCCGAACTAGGTCATTTAATTCAGGTTGTTCGATTAAATGGGGTGTTCTTCCTTCTCTCTCGGGAAAATAAGGAACGTCTTTTTCTGGCACATCATGGGAACCTGCCTGTTCATCATACATTTCCAAATCTTCCTTTCAATTTGCTGGGGGTGTTGGAACTGGTAAAATTTCTCCATGAAGAAGCAGCCTTCTTGCAGAAGGAATATCCGGATATACAATGTGTGTTTGCTGTTTCTTGGAAAACCAGACACGTTTATCATGCAAAAAGTAACAGTCGTTGTAATGATTTGTTGTTTCTCGCCAAATCATTGGAACTGCAAAAGGCATAGAAGAGCGTTTGCTATTTAACCAGTTACTTAGATTTGCTGCACAGGTTTGGCAACATACGTGAGGAGCCCAATCCCGATCTTGATGACCAACAACACATCCAAAATACTTATGGTAAGCTACTTTGGTCATTTGATTTGGCCTTTTCTGAAATTTAGGAGTAAACTGACCACATATATGTATAGCTAAAACTATCTGCGGGATTAACGCAGCCACGTTTCTGTAATTTGGACATTTTTGTACTGTTGTGCACGTCGTTTACAAGAGTCAACTTATTTTATTCACAAAGATAACACTAATACTCGTATAATAGGTACTCTTAATATTCGCGTGTTTGCTCACCTTGCTTCTCTAATACTAACTCACTACTACTCTCGTTAAACCAATATTGATGATCCGATTGTCAACCTGCTACTTTTATAGCGGTTCCGTATTTCTGGTATTTTCTGGAAACTTCGAGTATCGAAAGTTCGAGAAGCGGCGTTATAAGTCTCACATACAGCGGAAGCAGATTCGAATACTGGGCAGAGCCGCTGTGTTGCCAGATTTTAAGCAATTTTCTCAATTTAGGGGAAAAGCAAATTTGGAATGTCGGGGTTCATTAAATTTTTGTGAAAAAAATCATAACTCACAAATCTTACGCATTTAGGAACCAAAAATTAACAAAGAATTGCCTTTGGTATTACAGTCGTAAATTGGCTGTAAACTAGTGATAATTTGTGTTCCTATCTATGTTACACCAAAGTTTTCAAAGAATACCTTATAAGTTAAGGTTAATTTTTGATAGTAATTGTAGTATTCCACATTTAGGGTGCCTATTCCATATAAAGGTTCCTTTATCGTTATTCAGTTTTTGAAAATTTTTGTTACCTCGAACTTTTCAATATAACCTAAAATGGTTACAAACTTAAGGTCAAATATATGATTGTTAAAAAAGTACAAAAATACAAAAAGTCTTTCATTTATAACATTTGTGCAAATTATATATAAAAAAAACAAAATGGTATTCCATATTTGGTCACTTTCCTCTATCTCTCTCTTTCTCACACACAGTCTCCTAACGAACGCGCATCTTAGGGGAGGTCCTAAGCCGAGACTTTGAAGTCGCTTCCTAGATTTAGTAAGCTGTATCTACATACAATTTTAAAGATTGCTTTGCAAACAGTGAATATAGTTAGCCTCTCCGGATATTTTAGTGTACAATTCTCAAAATATTCAAAAACTGAATTGATACATTTGTGAATCACGATATTACGAATATTCATTTCTATTTCAGGAGGATGTTTCCTGTTGTTAAAGTAACAGCGGCTGGTTTGGATCCCAAAGCAATGTACACGGTCCTTTTAGAATTCGTTCAAATCGATCCTCACAGATGGAAATACGTCAACGGAGAATGGGTTCCTGGTGGTAAAGCCGAAGTACCGCCTGCCAACCCCATTTACATCCACCCAGAATCTCCGAATTTTGGAGCACATTGGATGAAAGAGTCGATATCTTTTGCCAAGGTAAAGAATGTTTTTTCATAGAAACTGATCATGTTATCACTTCAAGAAAAGTAAGGAATATTAAAGAGAATTCACAATTCATTGTTACAATAGAAGAGTATAGTTCAAATTTGAAATTAGTTTCTTGTTGAAGCTGCCAATTGAATGTGATCCAATAAAGGGTAAAATTGGAATTTCTTTCTGCTGTGGCTTACTTCATTTATCATTTTCATTGAAGACGATAAGAGAGAAATCAATAAAATTATCTATAAAATCCATAGTCGGTAATTTCCAAAAAACTAATATTCTGTTATGATAAAATAACCATTGAAGTTCAAGTTTTGATAATTGAAGATACTTTTTCAGATACAATTTTTCTATTATACCAACAAAATCCTTGATAAAATTTGGGAATATAATTAATTGCGAAACACAAAACAATTTTACGAAACTGAAACACAAAGTATCGAGATTTATATTGAGAACTCTACAGACTATACTCAGAGCACTCTGATTGTAGAAGGCCTTTCATACCGCCGAACAAATACAGAAAGTTATTATTCGTGGTTCGCCTAGTCATCTCAGGACATACAATTCTCGGACTCAATGAAGTGCTATTTGCCAAATAATAGTGGTATGCTCTCTATATCAGAACTTCCAAAAAAATAATGAAACTATATAAAATCAATAAAAAAATCTATCCAAAAGCTGTTGAAAATCATATAATATCAGTTTCTTCCAGGTCAAACTAACCAACAAATCCAATGGCAACGGCCAAATAATGCTGAACTCCCTCCACAAATACGAGCCCAGGGTTCACCTGGTTCGAGTAGGTAACGAACCTAGACGAGTGTTGACATTTCCGTTTCCGGAGACGCAATTCATCGCTGTGACAGCATATCAGAACGAAGAGGTGACGTCGCTGAAGATAAAATATAACCCGTTCGCCAAAGCGTTTCTGGACGCCAAAGAAAGACCGGATAACCTCTTCAATCAGCGAGAGTTGTCCAGCAGTTACGGACAACAGCAGACGCAGTATTCACAATGTGAGTGATATTCCTCAAAATTTTTATGTCGTCATGAAAGAGAGCTTCTTGTTTTGCGTCAACAACAAAAACCTGAAAGCTAAACGGTGACATGTAAATTCGAAAACAAAAACGGAATATGCATTACGATCAATTTACACTAGCGGGCATATCGAAAAGCATTCGTTCCAAAACATTTTCTGAACTCATTAGCATGAAAATTGGAATCTATACACTAGTCCTAATTTGAATTGTTACAATATTTTAAGTAATCGAAGATGAATACGAATTACATAACGAAAACAATCAGGTACCTACTTGGTGAATAGTTGGATGAACAATAATGAGCTGGCAAATAATTTCCATCTCATTTTCCTCTCATTCATGCTTTTGTTAATTAACAATTTTACAAGTTGAAGATTCACATGAAAACCATGATTGGTACTTTCCAGTGTGATAATTATGTACCAGAAAATGTGAACATGCACAGAGCTTCCTCTAAAATCCGAAACTAGGAAAGACATGGAATCAGTAAATTGATCAACAAATTTATGTGGTTACATTTCGACATAAAATATTGTTCATATATGTATGCGCTGTATTCCCAAAGTTTTTATCAAGTTCTTCGTGAATAACGGATTATATCCGTTGACAGTACTTGCACTACAGGAATTTTGAGAAAATGTATGTTAACAAATTCGATATTTCGCGGAAATGTCAACACAAAATGTACTTTTGACATGTATAGGGTCCCAACAGGGACTTTCGAACCTTAACAATTGATAACGGCCATCTTGTTAAAGCTACATCTGTCAAATTAGATGTCATTTATTCAGTTTGTTTTGCAAAATTTCCATTAACGGACAGAGCATTCAACAACGCTTGCAAATAATAAAATTGTTTTATCAAAATGGGTGATCTGTTCGGCGAACAAAGTACCGTGCAGGAGAATCCGAGGCAGTCGATTTCGCATCGCTCACAAGAACTCGGCCTTTCGTAGACCACAACTTGGCGAATTTTGCATCATGATTTGAGCCTGCATCCGTACAAAATTTAACTGAAGGTAAACAACTATAGACATCGATGTGTGTTCACTGAACGGGCTCTGGAGCAGTTGGCAACTAATCCTGATTTTCATCCAAAAATCATCTTCAGCGATGAGGTCCTTTCTGGATGAATGGGTACGAAAAAAAACAAAATCATCGAATTTGGGACAATACCCATCCTAATGAAATCCAAGAGCGTTCGATGCATCCCGAAAATATCACTGTTGGGTGTAGATTTTGGGCTGGCGAAGTCATCGGTTCATATTTCTTTGTTGACGACGTTGGTCAGGCCATCTTTGTTAACGACGAGCACTAAAGGTCGATGATCAACAACTCATTTTGACCTAAATTGACCTGGACACCAACGACATGTGGTTTCAACAGGACGGCGCTACGTGTCACACAGCTCATGCCACATTGGATATTCTGAACGAGCGATTTTACGGCATGGTCATCTCACGTGGAGGTGATGTGAACTGGCAACCGAGATCGTGCGATTTGACTCCGTTAAACTCTTTCTTGTGGGGTTTTCTCAAGTCGCAGGTGTATGCGAATAAGCCAATGATCACAGCGGCAACAAAACCAACATAACCTATGCCATCGGTCAAATTCAGCCTGATGTATGCGCTACTATCGTGGAAAATTGGACGTTTCGGAGGTGCTCCACCCAGAAACCCTGGGGGACATTTGAACGATTTATGCCACAAAATATCATTAATAGGTCTTTCAAACGAATACAAAATTTCGATTATATCTCACAAACGCTTTGTTTTATTAAAAGATAGGAGACGCTATATTTGTTTTCTTTGAGGAACGCACCTTGCAACAATAGTCATCCTCTTTGTATTAATTAGTTTTCTCTCAATTCTATATTTCAGATGGATCTTGGTTCATCCCCCACCAGCCAATGTACGGAACGGCTCAAATGTCGCCATGTCAGTTTCGATCTAGCCCGACGCTGAAACGACAAAAGTCAGCCCCGTACCCTGTTCAAAGGCAAAAGTCGGCTTCCGTTTCTCCTCCACCACACGGTGAGTATTGACTACGTTGGATAATTCAAAGGCAACCAAAAATGCTCAAACTCAAAAATAGTTTCCTTCTTATTTTCATAGTGTTTAAAGATTGGGATTGCCCGATACTTCCAACTGTTGAAGGTAACTGTCCAGAGAAGAGCAAAGTTTAAAAAAGTAGCCAAAATAGTTCCAGTGTAATGAAAGTTGTCTTCTGCTTGGAAATTACGAATTTGGAAGTATTTATATAAGAAAATATATATTTCGAAATGGAATCTCGAAACTTCCATCTCCCACAACGTATCTGCACCATGATGGACATCGAATTATATCCGATAGAGATGTATGCATAGAAGGTAGTCTTACAGATGTTTCTTATTCATCCAGCAGCAGTTCAACTCTGAAATCATCCGACTAGATCGTCCACAGACCGGTTTCGAAGTATTACCTACCATCAATAAAGGAACGATCCGACCTAAACAGCAGTATGCTTGAGACTCGATTTATTTCAACGCCGATTGTCATCTTGATTCAATTCAGGATGAAGCCTAGCTCCCTTGCCCTTCAAACGTGTTGTCTGACACAGGGACAAACAAAATACAACTCTCTGAGGCTTTTGTGGCGGTATAAAATTTCTGGCTGGTGTTTGGTGAAGAAGTAATTCACCCGTTGACGAAGCAGGGTGAATGTATCGAAATGTGTTCTTTTTCATTCGAAAATGAGAAAAGTGGTAATCAATGTCGATTTGAAGATCATGCCACAAATGAGAAAATTCACCGAACTCTTTTCTTTTTGCGTAAATGGGATTCGTCCACATTTCCCGCCTTCTTCGATATCGTCTGTGCCTGATACGACGATGAATCAAAGGTGATAATTCCAAAGCAGAAATTCTTCATCAAAATAATCAAAAAACCCGTTCTGAAGACCCATCTCTATTACGAATCAAGACGAATACTTAGGCAATGGACGATGCGCATCGCACGACTTTGTACGAACGGCGTTCGCACGAATTCGTTGCTTCGCGGTTCACCGATCCATGTGTTTGGATCGTTCGTGTGTTGTCGGGCAAATTCTGACGAATTGATTTCCCAACTTATCACAGCTTTTCGCTCCCAGTGGACGAGAGGCCTGACTGTTTCAGAAAATATGGGATTTTTACACTTTGTCTTATTTGGAAAATATGTTGAAAATTGTTTTATTTGTGATTTTGAGTGTCTATCACTCATCTACTAACTAACGAAAAACAAAATAGTTTTCTGAAACACAAAGTCGAAAAAAGCCAAACATGAAGAATATAAAAATGATAGTTTATTCAATAACAAGAATATTTGAACGAATAAGATTGTTGACATACGAGAAAACATTCAATATTCCTTCAATAATTTGTGTACACATTTCAATTATCAGTCGTGATAATTCAATTCAAACAACACTAACGTAAAAATCGTCATTAATTATAACCTCCTATATCAAAAGGTTCCACAACAATTCAATGTTAAAAAACATACGTAAAATTCGTCACTGATTAGAACTTGTTAGCATCTCCTAGTACCAACAGAACCGGAAAGTCATAACGATTTTCAAATTGCATTTCTTATTCAAGAATATGAATCTGTCACTGGATAATTCAAGTTTGTCGAAAATATTCAATTAGTAAGCGTGTTTGTGTGTTCAAAATGTATTTTTCCGTTGAGCAGCTGCGAAAGGTAGCATTCCAACGACTACGATCGTGTTTGAATATTTGCAGCAACAATGCATCCTTTAGGCCAATGTTTAATTTCTTCGTCATAGCACCGTATAGAAGTTATACGGTGGTCATAGGTCATGTTAACCAGAACAACAATGTCGCCAACATTAACATATCAACCGTCTTTGCAGAACCCTCAGAGTTTTAATAAGACATAGAGTTGCCATGCCTATACCAATACAATACATGTATTTTGAAGCGGGTATCGGACTATCCTTTTCTGTACAACTTATGGGCGATGGGGGTGGCGGGTAATGAGAGGTTATGGAGAGTTTGTTTACATTTGAAGTAAGTTGGACCATGAAACAGTGGCGATTGGTTTAGTTGATAATCTGAGGGATATTATATATTTATAAAATAAATAATTTCAGGTGAAAATGCATTCTGTTCGAATAGTTCCTACAGGAAATCTGATTTATTATTAATGATTATGGAAATGAGGCCAGGTTTCCTACCATCTACTAGATTTAATTTATATATGGCTTTATACAATGAAGCGAATGGTTTACTGGGTTAAAATTAAATTATTTCAAATGAACTAATTCATAACAATGATAAATGTTAATTTCACAAATAATGAACTCTGCTTCATATAATCAGATGAAGAAATTTGTGATTTATTCTCAGATTTGATCAACAAGCGGTACGGTTTGTGAGGTCCGATATAAAGAATTTTCATGAATATTCGTAATTACAATTGAGGTTTCATATTATTATGTGATTTCATTCAAAATTGGTATCCAGGGGTCTTTGTGGACCGACATTTTTTTTTCCAATAATTCATGCTAACGAATTCTATAATTACGAAAAATTATTATTGTAAATGAAAAAAACTGTATTCAAAAATGAAAAATATGTTTTTCATATGTGTGTCATAGGTCATATCCATTCTGTGATCAACAGATTAAAAAACTTTCTGCTCAATATTCAGTTTGTATACTAAATAGTTATTCTTGTGCAACCGGTGTTAAATCTGTTATTGCTCACTTAACAACTAACTTACGTCACACAAAGAATGTGATTTCCGTTTTGGTTTTTCTTTCTTTGCAAGAGGCTCTCGAGTTGCATACAGACAATATTCAATAAGAAATGACGGTTGTAATTTTTTTTATCTTTTTTTTGTTGGGATATGTCAAATGATGAAATAATATAAACCTAGTTTCAAAAATTTCATTTATAAGAATAAGATCAAAAAAAATCATCATTAAAAACATCAAAAATATCCCCTTTCATAATGTCGGTCCACAAAGACCCCTAGATACAAAAAAAATCATCATTAAAAACATCAAAAATATCCCCTTTCATAATGTCGGTCCACAAAGACCCCCAGATACCAGTTTTGAATGAAATCACATAATAATACCAAATCTCAATCTTAATTATGAATATTCATGATTTCTAATCGAAAATTATTTATATCGGACCTCACATACCGTATCGCTTGTTTCTTCATCTGATTTTATGAAGCAAAGTTCATTACTTTTGAAATAAACATTTATCATTGTTATGAATTAGCTCAATTGAAATAATTTAATTTAACCCAGTAAACCAAGCGCTTTATTATAAAGCCATACATAAATAAAAATCTAGTAGGTGGTAGAAAAACTGGCATCATTTCCATAATCATTAATAATAAATCAGATTTCCTGTGAGAACTATTTGAACAGAATACATTTTCACCTGAAATGATTTATTTTATAAATATATAATATCCCTCCGATTATCAGCTAAACCAACCGCCACTGTTTTTATGGTTCAACTTACTCTCGTAAACAAAGTTATGCTGCCTTCAATGTAAGGATGGAAAAGGCCTCTCTATTCCTTTTTTTACTCTGAGGGAGAACCATTTAGTTCTCCTTCAACTGTCAACCATCTTTGCCAGAAACAATCTACCAGTTGGGATATTTTCCATTGCTTTCGAATAACAGAAAACGTAATGAATATGCAGCTAGAAATACGGGTACTGATCAATAAATCCTTAGTTTAACTTAATGTAACTTTTATTTAATTAATTATTAAAAATAGTAAACACCTGATAAATGAAAATGTGTTTTGAGTCGAAAGAAATAAAATTAAGATTCACAAAATTCTTACATTTGAAAGCTCATAAATATTCTGTACTACTGATTCAACCTAAAGTAAACTGATTATGCTTCTTGTTTATTGGTAATTTTTATGCAAATATTGGCTGGAATAAATGGACTAACGGTTGAAAGTGAACAAACAGAATATCTCTTGTGAGAGAGGTGACCTTTCATATTTGGGTGCAGAAACGGCTTAGAGATATGGTATATTTGCATATATTTTACATAAAAATGTGTTATTTTTCTCCGTGAACGATAAGACAGTATATTCAAACACGGCATATTAAGTATATGAAGGAGCGACGAACTTCATCCCAGACTGATTTGTTCTTTTTGGCTTTTTCATATTCTAATTAAACAACGTTCAAGTTAAAGTATTCATTCTTAAGTATCTCACGGTGTTGTTCTGAGAAGGGAATCACGCGAAGTGGGGACGACATCTAGATTTAATAATTCAAAAGTTGAATCGAAATTCTACTCATAAACATCGAAACATTTATCTGTTTTAATATTCATTTACACATATATGAAAGACAGCTCTCCCCAATAACTTGTGAATTCAAAATAGATGGTTCGTTCGTGATACATGTGTATTGGAAAATATGTCTGTGTATAGCATTTCCCAAGGTCCGTAATAAATAGTAAGGAAATGGATCGATATACTCAGAATCGTTAAACCACTCAGCCATTTTATAATTGTTCATAGTGAAATTTATCTGAAATATTATTTCTAGATACCAGATACCACCTCACAAATGATAACATGATTAAATTGCACTATATATGCAGATACCAAACTTCGGTGCCTAACACCGGCATACACAACACCATTCATCCATATTGTTAATGGATAAACCAAAGTTCATCTCACTTCTTGAAAAGATGATTTCAATGAAGAACTTATTACCAAAAAAAAAATTGTAATCCAGAAGGAGAATTGAGGACCCTGATGGATACCGACCCATCACAAACGATGCGTGGAATAGCCGAAGAACTGGGCGTCAGCTTCCATGCGCTTTTTAACGTTTTATAACGTATTGGAAAGGTCAAAAAGCTTGAAAAGTGGGTGCCCCATGATTTGAACGATCTACAGAAAATGTGACGTTTCGAAGTCTGGTCTGCTTTGCTTTTGCACAACCAAAACGATTCTTTCTTGGTTCGGAACGTCACGTGTGACGAGAAGTGGATCCTCTACGACAACAGGAGACGTTCAGGTCAGTGATTGGACAGCGATGAGCCACCCAAGCATGCACTTCCCAAAGGTGAAAATCCACCACGGTTATTGTTTGGTTGTCAGCGGCTGGTGTGATTCACTATAATTTCCTGCAACCTGATCAAACCATCACTATTGTGGGGAAATCGACGAAATGTACCAAAGATGTTGTCATCAGCAATCGGCACCAGTCAATAGAAGAGGTCCGATCCTGCTCCACAACAACTCCTGTTCTGCCTCACTTACCATATTCGCCAAACCTCTCATTAACCAACTGCCATCTTTTGAAGCACTTCGATAACTTTTTCACTGATAGATTCAATATATTATAGTTTAAAGTGGGCTCATAAAAACGGATAAAACTTATTAGTTGAAAAGAGTATATTTGGAGACGTTTCTGAGTGCTTAATCCAAATTTTCATTAACTGCTGCGCTTCAAGACTAGTTCATAAACACGAAATCTTTCAAACTGTGAAATATGGAATAGTAAAAATTCATAACCATTAATTTCAATACAAACTTACGAACCGATGGATAATATAATCGTTATCATTTCAATGATTTTGAATTGTATCCGTTTCTTGTCAATCCATATGGATATGTTTAACCTTCATAATTATTTTCAGTGTACAATCCTCCCGACCACATTCAACAACAACAACCTCTGTACAGCTCAAATGGACCCACGTACACCAGTTGGCCAGCAATGACTTCCATGCAAACTCAGACCCCCTCTCCCATAGTGAGTAGTCCCATCAACTGTTGGTCACTGACTTCTAGTCCGCCACCTCCACATCAAGTCTCGTCGCAACCGAACCCAAGTCAATCACCTACCCATCAAGTCTACCAGCAATCACCTATAGCCAGCATCACCAACCTGTCTTATCCTGGATTTTATTCGGACATACCTTATCAAGGGCCGGAATACGTTTCGATAGTGAATTCGGAAGTAACATATGCCCAGATTGGAGTGGACCGAACTACTCCGATTTACCACTCCGAAACGACTAGTTTAGAAAAGAACGAGTATGAACGTAGCACCCCCATTACAAGTAGTAGCGTGGAAGATAGGCCTGCTTCTGCTCCCGTAGTTCCACGCCAAGAATGGGTTCCGCTTGGTCATTTACAAAATTAGTTTTTGGAATAATTCTATGGGAAATGAATAAATCTTTTGAGGATTCTCTGAAACGAGAAATTTTCGTATCGAAGGACAAAAAATACATTTTGCTGATACCCTATTCCAGTAATTACAATAAGATATAAAAGTAAAAACGAGCGGTACTTGCCCTAAGATCAAATAAAAAATTTGAGGAAAATGTACCTACACGGACTGTTCATTTCATAAAGAACCTATAACAGCTTACGAATTTGCAGTTGTATATACAAATTAGAATTAGAATTTCGTTTAATTGTGTTTTAAATAAATTACTATTTATATTAAACCTGTTCGTTTCATTATATACAATACATTTACTAGCTGTTTTCAGTCTACGGAAGAAAATAACATTTGATCAAGGAAAGCGATTTGACGATTTGAGGACCCTGATGAGGAATGACCCATCACAAACGGTGTGTGGGATTTAGATACATAAAGGCATGACCCTTGCAATGATGACCTTTGCAATGATATGAGCAATATTGTAAAGAATAACAACTTTTTGAACTTCTTAATTGTGTCATTGCTAAAGTTGATAGCTACTTCTCTATGAGAGACACAATGTTTTGGAAAAAGTTGTAGGAAATAATGTGTGACAATAAATGTGTGACAGGCCAAACTTATGTTTTTATGCTTTTTAAGTAGAATAGAATTCATTCAATACCAAATATCTCCTACCGGATCAAATGGAATGAGGGAATGTTTCAACCTGATATCCTTAAGGATAGTATTTTCATTTCGTCTTCATAAGTTTACCGGACAGCGCGTTTTTTGTTCAGGGTTGAACAAAATTTGGGATCACTTGGGATTGACTATTTTATTTCCATGGGAAATGTATCTCATTCTTGAGGAAAATATGAAAAAGTCACCAGACTTATGCTATCCTATAGTAGTAGCTGCTTGGTAAAGTTTCAAGTGGAAATCTCACGTTGAAGTGTGTTTTTTGAATATGTTGAAAATCAGGATTGTTTAAACATTTGGGCTCTACTAAAGAAATTATTTCTGCAAATGTGTTAGACTGCGCGGCCGGTCACGACCGCAGTATTCCCCGTTCCACTTGCTTGCGAACGTACTAACCGTACACTCAAGTGGAATGAATTATGGAGCGTTTTGGCCGTCATGAAAGCATTACAAAAGGCGAGGTTGAAAAAGTAAAGTAGACGTTTTAAGGAGGAAAGGTAAGCCTCAACAATCAGTTTCACTGATTGCAAGCTAACGTTAATCATTTGTAAAAGAGGTATAATTCGTTTTTTTTATATATAATTTCAGTGACATTAAAAAAGTATAATCGTGAAAACCGAAAACTTAGCCCACGTATTATTCATTATGAGAATATAATTCATCGTTACGTAGAGTTCAGCGTCTGGAATCATACGAAATTTTTTTTTTAGCTTTTATTGAATTTGATTTTTTTTTGGGTTTAATGAATGTTTTTATTCTTTCAGTAGTGATAGGTATTGATCAATTTTTACTGATATATGTATTTCATATTAAATATTTATTTATTATAATATTGTATCACCATCATAAAAAAAATGAAGAATTCAGAAGTCATTCCAGGTACATGATTTTCTAAAACATATTCCACTGTAGATTTTGAAAATGTTATGTCTAAACCTAGCTTCCACTAGAATTTTGTTTTCTGAATCAAATTTTCATATTTTAAAAACAATTTTATTTCTGACCGGGATATTATAAGCTTATATCGTCATAGTTACGCTATCAATAAAGAGGGTCATAACTCCCTTGGGACATTATAGATTTTATAATTCCCTCTACCTTTCACAAGTAAAAATAAATAGAAATGAAAACTGAACCATATTTTATTTATTCATGTCATTACAAATAATAAATGTACAATTTTGAAATGTTCCCTGAAAATTACTTCCGCCACTGGAAACAATTTCTTCTTTTGTATGGCTGGAGCTTCTGTTCACTACAGCCGAGGTACCTGCCTCTTCTGATGACAAAGTAGACAACATACGCGCCGTTTTATTTCTCAATTCGATGCTATCCTCCAAATACCCCTCCGCCACCGTAGAACTTTTCCAACCTCCGTGTCTTTTTAAGTTAGTCATAGTTGCTCCTGCATTGGCTAGAGCAGTAGCAGAAGTGCGACGAAGGCAATGTCCCGTATAAGAAGATGAGTTTGGCAATCCTAAATACATTACGATTTTGCTGGGGATTTTCCCAAACATGTTTTTTCCAATTGGCTGAGATGTACATTTATTTTGTCGGAAGCTCAAAAAAAATCGTTCAATACCTTTAGGACGCAAAGACATATAAAGTCTTAATAAAGGCAAAGCGGAGAACTCTTTTTCATCCACAACTGTAAATTTCTTCGATACACCAGTTTTACTTTCCGGTACGTTCACTACCATAACGGAATCCCGGTCCTCTATATCCGATATCTTCATATTCAAAAGTTCCTGACTTCTGCATCCTCCAAAATAACCCATAATCAAAACAACCTATAACAAAAAAAAGGAAATAAATACACACAAAAAGGAAAATAAGAAAAAAATTACCTTATGCAATAAATGAATATCATTAGGAGCGTCCTTTAGGAATCTGATAACATCTTTAGGAGATAAAACAGCAGACTTTTTCGGCTTATAACTCTTACTCTTCCGTTTCAAAAAAGCCTGTAGTTCATTGAACTTGGTGATATCTCGTTTCTCATGTATAGTCACCATCGATTTTAGCATTGACCATTCAGTCCATAAAGAATTCGGACTATACGTTTCTGACTGAAACGAATAAACACAATTACTACCAAATCTACCGAAAAACATAGAAAATTCCTTACCAGTTCTTGAAAATATGCCAGAAATACAGTTTCAGTGACATCTTTTGGCATAACATTTTTCGGTGTCAGCCAGTCCAGATATATCTTGTATTCTTTTTGGTATACGGCTTCACTATTCGATGGAATTAATGATTCTCTTGCTTGTTCAGCTTTTTTCAAAATATCCTCCATTTTATTTGGGGTAGAAAACACGTTTTCACCGCAAACACAGCTTGATAACAAAGTTCTGTTTATAAACAAGTAACATAGCAACAACCTAGCAACAAGAAAACTCTACTATAATCAACGGTACCTGATTCAAATATACCGGGAAGGTAATGAATTGGTACATTTTTCCGTTTCAAAAATGAACAAAATTTTATTGAAATCGGTCAGAAATAAAATTATCTATGTACCACGGGAATTAATGAGCCTTAATAACCTCAGGCAATTGCTGTCCCTCGGGCCAGAGGCCCTCGGGACGCAAACTTTGCCATCGGTAATTAAGGCCCTCCTAATTCCCTTGATACATAAATAACTATTAAAAATTGCGCTGAAATATCATCTACGTCCACTTTGACCCACCTAATCAGATGGGTTTTGAGCTTGTCATGAGCGAAAGTAATGACGTCATGAATGACGTTCTCGTCGCGACCACAACGATCTCGGTCGTTATATGATGGAACGACTAAAAGAACATTTTGATCATTGTGAGCACTTAGTAGAACCACGCTGTGGTAGAACGCACGGATAGTGTCATATTCTAAGCGAGAAAGAAAACTACAAACGAACATAAGTGAAAGACAAGTGAAAGGCAAAAAAACTAGAGATTAAAGACAGCATTCGTTTCGTATTGGCACTTTAGCAAATGAACATAATAATAAATCATTCATAGCAAATTTATTGAGAAATACTAATAATAATTAAACCAAATCTAATATGATCAAGAGTTTGTTATTGTAATATAGAATATCACAAAATAACCGTTGTGAAAGTATTGTTGAGAAAAACAATGCTTCATTTTGTAAATAGTTAAAGACGAAGCAGTTTTCAGTCCTCACTAAGTCAGGTTGACTCAGGTTTCTTCAATGAATGATGTGAATGAATGCCGTTATATATGTACTTGTGAAACAGATGCGTTTGGTTTCTACAAGCTATCATTGAAATTAGCATTCAAAATTTAGTTTGGGGAACTGGATGATCTTCTGGGATTTTTTTCAAATCGAATAACTCTTTTCAACTCCTTAGTTATGTTTATAAGTGATGAATGAACTCTAATAGATCAGATATCCGCTATTACATACCTAAACATACAGATTACTTTATGTTTCGGGAGAAAAATCATTTTAGTCGTGTTTCAAAACACTGAGTTGTGGAGGGTACTATGCTATCTAAGTATAGCATAGTTTACCCCTTGTTGATGTTAATTTGATAAGTGGAACATTCATCAAAAGGAGAATAGCAATACTAGTGCATAGTGCAATACTAGACGTTTTTAATGTGACATGTAAATATTCCATGGGGTGATGAATGAAATAGCTGCTGTTTCTAGACGTTTTTATAAAGAAATAGAAAAATTAGTTGATGGCTGACACTTGACGGTTATGTGTTTATATATTGTTTTTTTCCAAGTAATTTTATATTTTTCAAAATGATTAATAAAGAAGTTGAACTTATGATAGATAAACTGTGTAGATGTTGTATGCGTGAAAATGAAAACATGCATAATATATTTGAAATCAAAGGTGGGCCAGATCCGACTGAGCCAACAATACTGCTCTCTGATATGTTGGTGGCTTGTGCTTCTATTGAGGTGGGTTTTCGACTTCTAAATTTTAGGTAAAGTAATTTCATTCAACATTTAAGGTCACTTCTGGTGATGGGCTCCCAAATAACCTGTGTGAGGGCTGCGAAGAAAAGTTGAAAAATTTATATGAGTTCAGGAGGCAGTGTCAGAAATCAGACTCTGCTCTCAGAGAATTGACGCACATCGATACCAAAAATAATGTCTCAAGGACGGAAGAGGACATTGTAATACAACCTGATGTATTGGGTGATGTTTTCGATGAAGAGGATGATTTGCCTTTGGTGAGAAGAGGTGCAAAGAGGAAACGTGGTAGACCAAAGAAAAAAGTAACGGATAGTTTGGCTTGCACATATTGTAAAAAAGTATTACATACCAAAAAGGGACTGAGAGTCCATTTGAGGTCGCACACAGGGGAGAAACTGAGATATTGTTTATTTTGTGATGCAAAATATACCCGCACAAATCATTTGATCCGCCATATCACCACCCATGATAAACCAGGTTTGACACATCCTTGCGAGAGCTGCGATAAGGTATATGATGCTGCTGCTGATTTATACAGGCATTCCAAGGAACATGAAGATGTTGTTTCTGATGAGAAAGACTCTTCCAGAGAACAATCTATCAAAATTGAAGCTGACGAGATCAAAACTGAAGTCGTCAACGAGGCTGAACCCACTGAAACTGCTGAAAAAACAATTACGGCAGATGCTTCTCAAGAAGCTGATCAAATGTTTCTTGAAGATTTTCCAATGAGTGATGGTGATGATCGAGATGATAGCGATGGTGATTTTATTTTTGAAGAAGACTTGGATAAAGATAAGAAGTCTTCTAAAAAGAAAAAGAATAGCCCTAAGGTGGATGATAAAGCTATATACGAATGCAAAGAATGCACTAAAGTTATGACGACATACATTGGTCTGAAAATTCATATGCGCAGACATACGGGTGCAGATTTGTCTACATGCAAGGTTAGCTATTTCTTACTCTCAACTTTTTTCAGCTTTATTTTTTGAATCAGTATTGTAGTAAATATTCAGTCATGTAAACATCTACTTTAAGAGGGGAAGTAACTTAGTGACTTGAAAATTGCTCAAAGTGTAATAAAGTGAAATTTCATTTAAAATTATGGCTAATAAGACAACACCTGGGATAAAAATGAGACCTTCACTTGCTCAGCCTAAAAAAAGAAATGAAAATCCAGTAAAAAAAATTAGCTGGGAAAAAATTTTGGTTGATAAAATATTCGGATTGTTGCTAGCAGAACCACTTTAAATTTTTATATTTATATTCTTTTATAATTGTATCCCAGAATTTTTGCTCTCCATTCAATAGTGATATCGTGGGATCTGCTAGCCTACTATAGCTAGCTGAATCCAATCATAAAAAACATTTTCTTGACTGAGGTGCCTTCATTACCGTGTTGAACATTTTTTTGCTTGTCCCATTAAATAAGTATTTGAGTGATTATCTCAGCTAGGGAGAGACAGAAATATATTGAAAAATTTTACCCTATTGCCGGCTTTCCATGCATTGTTTTTTTTAATCATTGGGTCCCATAGAATTGGTTCTTTATTTCAAAAATTTTGAACCTTCGAACTTTTGCTATTTTAGGTTCACTTCAGACTCCTTCAAAAGTTATGTTACTCCTTGTTTTCATTGAACAGACACATGGTAGATTGGGAAATAATTGTTTGAAACTAAAAAACTCACATTCGATATGAAAAACATAATAAATGAACACCAGCATGGCTTTATATCTGGTAGATCTAACACTATGAATTTATTCCTTATCAACATTTTCTTTTGAATAGCCTAGAGGAAAAACACCAGCTTGACTCTATTTATACTGACTTCCCTAAAGCCTTCGACAGGGCTGTTCCTCAAGGATCGCATATAGGCCCAATACTTTTCATTCTTTTTGTAAACGATGTGTCGGTTGTCATACACCACAGCTTTGACTCGATGTTTGCAGACGATCTCATTCTTTATAGGGTAGTAGATAACCTTTGTGAAGCAGAACTGTTACAGCTAGACCTAAATACCTTATCTCTATTTATATGTTTATTGTAAAATAAGAATTTTCTTCAAATGTGGGATAGATAGATAGAAATATAATGAGAATTTCAGGACGGTATTCCCCTCCATCGCCGACTTTTAATGTGTTTCTGAGGTATTTACCCAAATATTCTATTCAAGTGAGGAGCAAAAAATGTTTGACATCCTAAAGAGAGGCTAAAATTTTAGCAAGTTCAAAATTTCCTAAAAGTGCAGTATTTCGATTCGATTCTGCCAGCTTAACGGTAAAGCTAGCAGAACCCACATTTAAAAAAAAACAACACATCAAAGGCCTGGAAGGGGGGTAATAGGAGCCTGAAATGAGCCTAAAATTTTCAAATATATTTGTTTATTTTGGAAAAAATATTTCCGGGTTTCATCCTTGTCACTGAACCTGCATAACAAAAAACCTAACTTTTTCCAAGGCTTTTGACCGTTTGAGGTGCAATTTCTACTACAATTCCTGATAATTATTAGTTGGAGAATAGTATTGTCACAGTTGTACTGTGTGGAAGAGTAATTTTGTACAAAAAAAAAAGTTCTATTTCACAGAGATATTCGTTCTATCTAATAATAATAATGATAATAATAGCATTTATGACCCAACAGTCAAGAACCATTTACAGGGTTTATTAAATATGTCAAAAAAGCCACTGCAGATGCTTATAACTACAAAGGTGCAATGTGAGAAATGAAGACCAATAAAAAAATAAGAGGAGGAAACAAGTTATACATAATGTTATATATTTTCTGGGTAACTCGAGACTTTCTATATTGAATGTTGTAGTAAGAAATTCATATGGAACATATTCAAAAAACACTTTAATATGAGATTTCCACTTGAAAGCTTTCAAAATCGTGACACATGTTTCGCTATACAATAGCATCTTCAGGCATCACAAGACGCCTAAATATTTTCTAACTGTTGTTACGGTAAATAGAATCTTCAATAGTTTTGACAGGTAAATTAATAAACCAACTATGTTTGCTTTTTTAGCTCTGTAATAAGTCATTTACGAAACATAGCCACTTGGTGAGGCACATGCGAACTCATGGAGTCGTTGATTCTGATGAAGCAAAAGCTCTAAGAAAGAGTACAGATTCTAAAGATAAAAAAGTGAGTAGGCCAAAAGTGTATTTATGTGTTGTATTTATTTTTTTTTCATTTATTAGGTTATGGAATGTGATTATTGCGACCGTAAATTCAAGTATAGGAAGAGTTTTGTTCATCACATGCAGGTTGAACATGGAATGTCGGATGTGGATAGTGACTGTGACAAATCCGCTAACCCAGACAAAGTGAAAGAAGATAAGGGCGAAGCGGTTCGTGTTTCTGAAGAAAATGAAGGTCAGAAAAATATTTTTTCATTAAAAAGATCACTTAATTCACAGAATGATATTAAGGTGGATTTATGCAGCAGCAACTTTCATTTACACTTTTAATTTCTTTGTAACTTTAGTAACTTTCATTGAACACCTTTTAGATTCAGCTAATATGAATTCTTCATCAATTCAATTCAAAATATAGAGGTTCTCACAACAAGAAACTCTTTTACCTTATTTTTAAATCTCTCCATTCTGTATTTACCTTAAGTTAATGAGAAGACAATTAAATAATGTCTTACACTTGAAGATAATTGAATTTTGTGTAAGTGCTAGTGTAATTTTAGAAGGCAAATGAGTTGTGAATGACATTTACTATATGTTGAAGAAGTATTAATTTGATTTTTATAATTTTTGAGGATGAAACATTCCGTTTTCAAAATTGAAAGGTCTACCAATGTCCGAATCTTCTGTTCCACCCATATAGGATGGCATGAATCCCTATAAATAGCCGTGCGTAAATATCTGATGGCCCATCTTTAAAAGAGGAAAATGAATTATGTACAATTTCCCCAGAACAAATCCCATAATGAAAATGAGATTCAAATTGATCAAAGTGAACAGATTTTGTAAGAACAGAATCTAACTCTCTTGCAACAACTATCATTGCCTGGCATTCTGCTGCTAGTCGTTTACATAAATGGTCAACACAGCTATCAAATTTTGGTTGCTTGTCAATGTATAGAGAGCCCAAGACATTGTTATTCTTCAACTTTATTGATTTTTTCATTTTCCAAGTTAACCTCTCCTATATCACATCTGAATGAGACCACATTTCTTTTGTCAATGTTGAAAGATAAAAGATTGGAATTGCATCGTTCTTATGTCAGTTCTGATTTGGTTAGATGATTTTGAGGTGGTTTTGTTGTGCTAGAGAATAGTGGTATGGTCACCGAAAAATGTGAAGTTACCATTGATGTCAACATGGACTGAGTAATTGACATAAATGAGAAACAGTACAGGTCGCAAAAGGAACCCGTGAAGGACACCACAGTCAATCAAAGTTCATCCGATGAAATTCCGTCTATCAGGACAGCCTGCCGACGATCAGACAGCTATTTCTCAAACCAGAGTAGTGCAGATCCTCTAAAACTTCTAGCTTGCAGAGAAGCAGACTATGATCTCCACAGTCAAAAGCCTTGGATAGGTAACAAAACATGGCAGCGGCAAATTCCCTTTCATTCAGACTAAAGTACAGGTTTTCTAGGAATGAAAATATAGCATCCTATGTATAGTTCAAGTAAAAGATATAGTGCCCCCTATCTTCCAGCAGTTCCCTTTTAATAACACACACAACGCGGTACTCATCGCTACATTCTGTTGGTCACCGTAACATGACTTCAAATTTAATTTTATGACTTTTCAGCAAATCATAAAACTCGGTTAGTAAAAATTATTCAATACGAACCGCCAATTCTTCAGTCCACGTGGACTAATTCGTTGCGGCATAATTCCTTTGTATTGGTTTTTTTGGCCTTTGACTTCGCCGACACCTTTAAGATTACTATATCGGTTACTTCGACTATACCTTTTGAGGTACTATCCTTATTAAAATAGTTGATGAAATATATAAATCAAAGCATGCTTTATTATCTGAAGAATATAATTCTTATTGACAAAGCTTCAAAATGTAATAGTACATAAATCGTTACTTATTAAAAGTAGCAGGAGGTCATGATAATTAAATGAAATTAAAATTATGCAAACCAATATGGATTTTCGGATGTTGAAAGTGGATGAACTTATAAATGTATATATACAGTCATGCTAATGTTCACAACAATACAGTAAAATAGATATAAAAACAGTTTTACCTAATTTATTCTATATCAATTGGTTATATATACAGTGTCATCCCCAAAGTATGCACCATATGGGAAACTTATTTGTTGAGGGTTTTTCGACAAAAAGTTATTGTTGATAAAAGTTTGTGCATCCCCTAAAACTAAACATGTAACAACAAAATACAGTACAACACACATAATATACGAGGAGCCGTAAAATATTTGATTTTGTGACAAGAGTAAAGTACTCTTATTTTGAAAAATATATGTAGATTTGAAGTCATGGCCATCTAAGTGAAGTTTTATTTTTTACCCATTTTTTTTTAAATGGGTACTACGAAAAACAAATTTTTGCTAAAACAAAACGGTCTATGGACCTTGCCTTGACTATGATACTTGGTCCAGAGTACAATGTGTTCAAAACTCTTGTATTCGTTATATATATGGAATAAGGAAGTATGAACATGTGTCCCACAAGCTTGCGGAACTGAACTGGTTTAACACGAAAGATAGGTTCGAATTTCATTCAATATGTTTATTTCATAAAATTATATTATACAGAAATCCGCCTTATTTATATCATAAAGTAACACTCAGGACAGACGTACACAACATAAATTTCAGAAACAAAAATGTAATCACATGTCCACAACACAAGACCTCAGTTTTCCAGAGAAGTTTTTCGTATTCGATTTTTCATCTTTATAATTCTATTCCCGATTCGCTAAAACACGATAGTAATTTTTATAAATTCAAAAAAGAGCTTAAAAGTTTCCTGCAAGTTAACACATCCTGATGAATTTCTCTTTTTATAATCTGTGTTTGACAAGTAGTCATTTTTCGTTATCTTCCATATACCGTTTTTTTTTTCATTTTGTTGGTGGTGAATATTCAGGTGACCCAAAAAATGCCAAAAACTGTGTTATATAAATTTAGGTTTTAGGATTAGTTAGGTTAGTCTTTAAGTAAAAGTAAATTAATTTTCAAAGTTTTTGGTGCAAAGTTATTTTTATTTTTTGTTATCACCGAAAATTACTCAAAATTATACAGTATTGTAACAAAAACTTAATATTCAATAATATCAAATCACAAAACATCAAAATAAAATAGGTATTTCTGAACAAACTCATTGATTTCCTGGAGATTTTCTTGACCAAAATAAGTGTTTTAAGTTGAATCTCCAGAAAATCAGTGAGTTTGTTCCAAAATGCCTATTTTATTTTGATGTTTTGTGATTTGATATTATTGAATATTAACTTCTTGTTATAATACTGTATAATTTTGAGTAATTTTCGGTGTTTACAAAAAATAAAAATAACTTTACACCAAAAACTTTGAAAATTAACTCATTTTTCAAAACAATTGACCGTGGTTAACACTATAGTTGTGTAATTTGAAATTACACAACAGGATGCTGCGTTACAAGCATCATAAACAAGAAAAACTGTTTCAGCAGGAGCATCTGATCAACCAACGGATTCTTCTCAGATTGTAGAGCTCAATCACAACTTTGAACTCGCTCAACCTGTGGGAGAAGACGAAGAGATAGATATCCCCGATGCAGAAAACTTATTCGGCAAAAAAACTCGAAGCAAGAATCAAGTGTGTCACGTTTGCGGTGCTTCGTTTGCCAGGGTGAATCACTTGACGCGTCACATGACCCTGCATAGGTCGGTGCTGGTGAATCAGTGTGACCGATGCGAAAAAGCATTTGCCACCGACGAACACCTTAAAATGCACGTGAAGGAAGAGCACATCAACAAACCATACGTTTGTACCGTATGCAACAAACCTTTTAGCAGGGGAGAGCACTTGATAAGGCATTTGAAAGTGCACCAGAACAATGCCGATAAAGATGAAAATCTGAAATGTTCAATATGTGATTCAACATTTACCAGGTGAGTACCTTTTATTAACTATACCTTTATATCCAATGGATCTTGAATTGAATGATTTGTTGTAATACAGCATTTTTCTTGTACATTATTTAGAAAAACACTGCTATATTTATGGAAATTCAATTTAACTTGCCTCTAGCTGTGACAGAAATCTCTGACCTACTCCCCAAAAACATCTTCCTACTTTCATTTTTTTTTGAGGTCCAACGTACTTTATTATGAATTATACTTGTGAACCAGAAATATGCAAAGGATACAATTCTGCGACACTTTTCTATTTTCAGATCAGACCATCTAGCTCGGCACACGAAAGTTCACTTGTTGCAGGACAAACGGCACGTTTGCGGGGAATGTGGCAAGGCTTTCAATCGCCTCGACAACTTGAAAACCCACCAAAGGACACACACGGGGGAGAAAGACACATCGAAATTACATTTATGCATTTATTGTGGAAAGGAATTCAATAATTCCAGTAACATGGTAAGTGGTTGATATAAATCTCGATTTATATTAATTACTTAACCCTGTTGCTCGTATTATTGTATAACTTGCAAAAATACAGTACACATTTTCTCTATGAGGAAAATAATTGGGACAAGCTCAGTTTTATACAAGAGATATTAACGACTTTACATTTTTTTTAGGTCTGTTTATTTTTCCGTGACAAGTATACAAAATGTATTCAATCTATTCGCGAATTATAAAGGTGGGATGGTATTGTGAAAAAATATTAGAAAAACAATTAACTTTGATCTAGAGATACCTTCAATATTAATAATAATAATATGCTTTATTATCATAACACATAATCTTGTAGATAAAGCTTGGGTAGTACATACTTAAAAAAATACAATACATACCAACTGAAATTTAAAAAAAAGTAAATGGTGCATTGGTGAAACTATGTTAAAATGGAGGATATAAAAGATATGTATATATAAAAGAGTAAAAGTCAAGTTTAAAAAAGAGTAGACATAAAAAGTAACAACTTAAGAGCTCCTTAATAAGTAAAGATAAAAAATATGCGTAAGTCAGGTGAAAGCTATCGTTACAATATTCATCCAAAGTATAATATGGTCTATCAGATAGAAATTGTTTGACTAACTTCCTGAATTGGAAGTCATTTACATTGGCCGGTCTTATGTCCATAGGCAAATGATTGTACATTTTTCCACCGTTGTAAAATATGGAGTCTCTTGTAATGTTTTTAGTTGGCACAGTGACTTTCAGAGTGTGTCTGCAGTTTCGGGTATTATAATGGGAAGAGGATGCAGCAAAATTCAATATATGCTTATTTATTAAACACACAGATTCCACAATAAATAATGCAGTTATCATTAAAATATTATGTTTTTTGAAAAAGGTTCTACAGGAGTCTCTTGGTTTAAGGTTTCCTATAAACCTTATTGTCCTTTTCTGTAAAATTAGTAGACTTTTGAATAAAGTTGGACTGAGGTAAGTAACAATATGCTTTGTTCACCTGCTTCAACCAGATAGGAAACATGCTCCAATTTTGAAAATCATTTTCTAGGCTGTCATATTATCTCCCAGAAAGAATTGGGTTGGGTAATATCATTAGTTTTTTATTATACGAGATCAAAAGCTATGAATTGTTTTTCCACAATACTAGACGTTTTCTTTGTATTGCTTCTTGCAAGCAGGACATAACTTCAAGATAATTCTCCTTTTCAACAGTACGACCATGTGGCAAGAACTCCTGATGTACTATGCTACGATAATTGCCACGTAATATTAATTCATTCTAAACAAGTTCAAAAAAATTATATGTTGTTACATCATAGATAATTGTAGGTACATAGTTATATGATATACCAACTTAGTTGGAGAAGAATAAGTCGGCAGACTCGTTTTTTCAATACTTTTAACTACACCATTATTTGTACTTTCCAAATCATCACTGTAATACTTTTCTGAGGACAGCGAAATGAGAGGGACACGCTTACCTCTATACTCCGCAGAATAAAATTACTTCCTCAAATGCTTGGTTCTATTCACAATCGATTCATAACAGCAGAGTTTCAAAGAAATCTTTTTAAAAACACCTACAAAAACGTGATGAATATATCTCACTTGATGTCTGATTCAAAACCGATATCATACAGGGCTGAATTTTTAATTCTAAGGGTGATGCGCTATGTTAATTATCTTTATTCTCAAACAATCATAACTCTTGAATTAATGTAGCAAATTTCAATTCCTTTGCACCATTGAATGGAGAATAAAACCCTCTATTGAATGAGCTATCACTCACCACTCCATGCTATTTAAATTTTTCGAAAGGGTTGCTTCCCTGAACTGTTCATACTCAAATGTACATTGTAATAATAATAATAATAATCATTTTTGTTTAAGAATATGTCAACAGTACAATAAACATATAATGAAATGACGTCACTGAGGGTTACAAGACACAATAATCTTGCGTAAATAGAAATATAAGATGCATAAATAAAGATAATTTTAAAAATTATGATTAAAATACTCCGCAATATTATAAGGTTCCAGATGTATGAGTACCTTTTTTATTTCTCTTTTGAATTTATTGATGCTGACCAATGCTTTTATTCCATCTGGTAATTTATTGAACAATCTAATGCACACATGTATTGTGGGCTATTTTCAGTTACCGTGAGTCTGTGAACAGGGTAGTTGATATTTCTAGTCCTAGTTTCATATTTGTGAGGGATGTAATTTATAATAAACAAAGATTTATTTTTAAAAAGAACATTGAACATTCATAAATATAAATTGCATAAATGGTCAATATATTGTTTGATCGGAAAATACTTCTGCATGATTCCCTATATGGCATATTTAAGATTATTCTTAACGTTCTCTTCTGAATGATAAACACTTTTTCCTTATCAGAACTGCTTTCCCAAAATATGATGCCATATTTAGCAGCTGCTTCAAAGATTGCATGATACATAATTTTCATTGAACTGAAATTTAGAAATCTATTGAGAGTTCTCATGGCAAACACGACTGAATTTAGTTTCATGCATAATTTTGTTATTTGTTCAGACCAGCCCAAATATTCATTAATGTAAACACCTATGAATTTAGTACAAGGAGCTATCTCTCTCTTTCTATTTTTCATATTTATGCTTGATGGACGTTCTATCTGTAGCTGTCTTGGACGAAATAGTATCGTATTAGTTTTTGATTCACTAAGAATCAATTCATTACTTTCAAACCAATGTTTGGTACCGCCAAATAGATTACTTGCATTTTGCATAAGATCAGGAAAATTATCACCCCAGCATGAAAGGTTTGTGTCATAAACATAATTTGTAATAAACTGATCTTCTTCAATACTGGCTGCACATAGATCATCCATGATAATTATGAAAAATATTGGACCGATAATACTACCCTGTGGTATTCCGATATTTGATGATGATATTTCAGATTTATACATTTTTCCTTGATTCTTAATGCACACTCTTTGAGTTCGTTCAGTGAGATAAGATTTAGCCCATTTCAGAGCATTCCCTCTAACACCAAATCTCTCTAGTTTAACCATCAACAGGAAGAAATAAAAAATCGACGTGTCTCGGCGATTTTCCTAACAAGAGTCCAGTAACGATTTAGGTAGGGGGTAATACTTATGATGCGCACTGTATGATAGATTTTAGGTCGTTTCAACAGTTTTTTTTGTGCTTCTGAGCCTACTTTCGACTGTAATATCTTAGTGAATTCAATTCAATTCTTTATTTATCCATTCGAGCAAATACAGCTATAGGACAAGTCAAAAACATATAGACATACATAAAATAAATTATGTACATGCATAACAAGGATTGCAGACAAAATGCAATTAACATAGGATAGTGAAATAATACATGTTCACAGGTTGTTCTTTAAAAAAATAATTCATAATAATCTTCTAGGGAGTAGGGACACAGATCAATTAGTATCTTTTTCACTTCAATAAGAAATTTCCGGTTTGAAAAGGATCTATATCTTTGTGGAAGTCGATTATAGAATCTTAAGCCAAGTACAGTAGGTGAATTTTAGCTAATATTTAGTTCGATAGAAATAAGCGCCATTTAAATCAGTGCACTTTTGCCATTGTAATACAAGGCCGGTGAAAAAGTTATTGAAGTGCTTGAAACGATGGTACTTGGTTGGCAGGGGGTCTAGTGTGTATGATGGGTGAGGCAGAAATTAGACGTTCAATTCATTTAATTTTTGATCGGTGATTTGTGAAACATGCAGACGGACATTGTCGTGGAACAGAACCAGACCTCTTCTGTTAGCTAGCTATCGGCATATTTAGTCGATTTCCTCACAATAGATTATGTTTCTCAAATCCTCGTCCTGAATTACTGGAGGTTGACCACTTTGGGGCTCATCTTCGAGGCTAAAACAGCCAAGGAGGCAACACTCTGGGTATACAGGAATCGATTTTATAATTTTCAGTTCATTTGGTATCACATCATCAGTCTTCTTGAGAGGCTCATCCAACTATCCAGTATTTTCAATGTGAAAGAGGTGATTTTTCTGTTCAAAGTCAACAACCCACATCTCCAAGAATTGTCAATCTTTTTCATGGCAAAATGATGAATACAGTTATTCCATTATTATTATTAGATTCTTGTTCAAAGATAGATAGATAGATGGATCTTTATTTAAATAGGATATCCTAATAATATACAAATCAACTAGAATGGTAGAAATAAAAAAAAAAGATATGTGTTACATCTAGAAATGACTTAAATGTATGACAAACATAAGTTCAATAAAATATTTTTAAAGACATTACTACAAAAACAGCAACATTATACATTCGAAAAATTTCAATGCAACATGTAGAAAGATAAATTACATAATATGGCATGTCGTTTAAATATAGTATGAATAGAAGGGGTCCCAGAACACTACCCTGGGGAACTCCAACGTAATTGTCAATTTCACAAGAGAACATGTGAGCGACACAATACTTCAATATTTTAATTATAATTTTCGAGTTCTCTATTTTCTTAGTGTTGATATAAAATTGAGCATTTTCAATTATTATTCTCAATTGAATAAAATTTTCAACTAACATCTTGTTCTTAGATCGTCCATATGAGGCGTCATACTGGAGAGAGGCCGTACAAATGCACGGAGTGCGGGAAGGGTTTTCCAAGATCCCACGATTTGAAGTGCCACGAACGTACACATTCTGGAGAAAAGCCTTATTTATGCACTTTATGTGGAAAGTCGTTCAATAAAAGTAATAAGCTGGTAAGTACTGTTTCTTGACCATATGCTTAAATTTGGAATCTAGAATAAAGTAAAAAATTATTAGTTCAAGTTAAATTTTTCATATGATTTGGTTTGATTTGATTCATCAATATTATATACCGACATGTATGGAAATAGAGCACCCAGTATATTACTAGTTTCCAAAATCTGATCAAAGCCTGATGGCTTTCCCGAGTATTTTTTCAAAAAATGTATCTGTACCTTAACATATCCCATATTTCTTATTTTCAAGTGCTCATTAGATTCTAGTTCATTTCCTGACCTGTGGAAACATAGCTTTATCCGGCTTATTTTTAAATCTGGTGATAAACAAAATGTGGAAAATTATCGAAGTATCTGTAGTCCGTCTTCACTTGCAAAAATTTTTGATTCATTAGTTAGTGATCAGTTAAAATTTTATTGTAAGGAACGTTTAATAAATAATCAACATGGATTCTCACAATATAAATCTACTATTACCAACTTGATGATTTTTGAACACAAAATATTGGATGTTTTGGAAAGTAAAGGGCAAATGGATACAGTGTATACGGATTTTTCAAAAGCTTTTGATCGAGTAGACCACAATATCTTATTGAAAAAATTAAAGATATTTGGATTTTCTGACTCAGCTGTAACATGGCTCAGAAGTTTCTTATGTAATCGAACCCAACAAGTTAAAGTTGGAGGCGTTACATCGGTTATAATTCAGGTGCCATCAGGGGTACCTCAGGGTTCTCACTGCGCTCCTATGTTATTCAATATCTTTATTAACGACATTGTTGAATGTTTCCATCATACTGATTTTTTGATGTTCGCAGATGATCTCAAAGTTTTCATGCCAATAAGATCACTATATGATTCAACACTAATGCAAGATGACCTAGATAGATTGGTTACATGGTGCTCCGAGAATAATTTACAGTTGAATATCGCAAAATGCTGTTTTATAAGTTTTTACAAAAGAAATAAAAAATTTGATACTTCTTATGTAATTAATGGCCATGGATTATCTTATGTTTCGTCTGTGAAGGATCTGGGTGTTTTTTTTGATGAACAACTTCAATTTTTAGACCACTTGAACTATATTGTGGTAAAGGCGGCAAAATGTCTTGGATTTATTCTACGACATGGTAAACATCTGTCCCTTCAAGTCTTAAGGATAGTTTACTTGTCTCTGGTAGTATCAATATTAGATTATGGCTCAATGATATGGTCTCCATTTTATGACAATCACAATCTTACTCTTGAAAGAGTTCAAAACAAATTCCTAAGATTTTGTGCTCATAGAATGAGTATACCTGTTATTGACCATGATTATAGCAACATTTTAGAAATCCTTAATCTCAATCTGTTGAGAAAAAGGAGGGAAAACTTTGATCTAATTTTCATATACAAGTTACTGAATGGCTTAATTGTTGCTCCTGAAATTCTAGAAAATATTAATTTCAATGTCCCAAACAGAATTCTAAGGTCCAGCGATTTGTTTCACTTACGGTTTCATTCTACAAATTATGGCTTACATAACCCTGTTGATCGTACACTTCGACTTATTAATGAAAGAAAATTGGAAGTAACTGGTATATCTCTCAGCAAATTCAAAAACAATCTCTTAACTGCATGGTAGTATTATGATATGTATTTTATAATAACTTAAGTTAATGTAATGTAGTATATTACTTTATTATATAATTGTTAATTTTATTCTCAAATGAGGGTGATCCCGTAAAATAAATAAATGAATGAAAATGAAAAAATTCTTATCTAACAGTCCGTATGTTCAATGATGAATTTTAAATAAGCTACACGTTGAAAGATGCTCCAAGATCAGGAAGCCCGCCCCTTTCAAAGTAAGTTCAAAAAGTGTTAAAAGAGTACTGAAAAAAGAACAGTTTTATACTAATGAAATGAAAATGCTGCATGATTTCACGGAGGGTGATCCAAACTGGAGGGTTGAATTTTGTGAGTGGTTAACAAGAAGAATTGTGTGTTTATATTTCAGCAGCACGGCTCACCTTCCCATTTCCATTGCATGGCTAAACAGTTTCTCGATACAAACTTTAATGGGCAATGGATAGGTCGCACGGGAAGTACGGAATGATCACCAAGATCTCCAGATTTCACGCCTCTAAATTTTTTCCTCTGGGGATATCTGAAGTTCAAAATCTTTATCATTGAATGCCAAACAGTTGAAGATTTCGAATGCAAAAGAATAGAAACATGTGATGAAAAAAAATGAACAAACTGCCATCAATAATGAAACATTTTATAGCCTTTCAAATCGTACATTGCGACAGTCAGCTCCAGACAAGTTTTTTCCTGTCTAAACGCATATCGCTCTTGTATTGTTCGGATTACCGAAGAAGCTTTTGGAGTAACACTTCATAAAATTGACGTTCGGATTACGCACCCCTCCAAGATTTTTGGAAGGATCCACTTCAAACACTCAATCAAATAATTTTTGGGGTTTGATGAAAGTGTTTTTATTGAAAAATCAATTTGTTTTCAACCAACCTATTTTCAAACATCGATATTTCAAAAGCAGTTCGGTTCAAGAGTGAGGAATTCAAAGAAAAATCGAATAATATACTGGATATCTAATAATTATAATAATTGGTTTTATTGATAAGTTCATACATAAGTAATCAGTACATACATCGCTCTTATCAAATGGCAGGATTCATTTTTCGGCCATGTTCACACATGGTCAAAAATTGCTCTTCCATCCAACCTTATTCCAATTTACAATTTAATTTCAAAAATAATAATTATACATAAATACAAATGAATATTATAAATTATTGAGTGAGAATATATAATATTTACAATTTAATTTAAAAAATAATAATTATGCATAAATTCAAATGAAGATTATAAATTATTGAGTGAGAATAAATAAATAACAATTTATAACTGTATGGTATATAAGAAATGATATAGATATTAAAATGCCTACTTGACAGGTCTTAAGATACAGTGAAAATACCCATCAAGTTTCTTTTTCAGCGCACCAGAAGAAATATGCTTCTATTCAAGAAAATAATGCAAGATGGCACCAAGCGGTCATTTTAAATCTTTCTACTGTAATTTTTTCCTTGAAAAAAAGTGGCTTTTCATCACATATTTAAACGTTTCATACTACGTTGCCATATACCAGTTGGCCCAAAAAATAATAGAGGGGGAACAGACTTTAGAGGGGCATTGTATATATACATATATCAGGTTACAAATTAAAATAGATACATTAATGTACATGAATTTGACCCTCACACAAACAAATTAGAACATTTAGGTTGTGATTACTAGAAAGGTATAACTCCAAACAATTTGTATGTCTAATATATTGATATAGCATAAAAATATTTTTGTAATATATAGGTAAATATTTCAATCATATTTAAGTTCTAATATATTTTCAGTTACGTCACAGCCGTGTTCATACAGGTGAACGCCCATACGTCTGCAATATTTGCAGTCGCGCATTCACTCAATCCAACGATTTAGCGCTGCACATGCGAAGGCATACTGGGGCTCGACCATACGCGTGCGGAGTGTGCCCTGCTCGTTTCATACAGTCCGGACAGTTGAAAACTCATCGTAGGACAACAGGACACTGGATGGAGACACAGCCCGATCTCAAAGGAGGACACAGAGTAGAACCAGTGACGCCTGCCCATGAACCTATGCCTATTAGGTTCAAAGTTCACAGGTTGGTTAGATATTTCCATTATGAAAAATTTATAAACAAGAACAGAGGTGTATATCATCTGAATTTTATTCTGGAAGGCACACAAGTCACACAAGCATTCATACGTCTTCACGCCCCTGATATAAAAAATCTTTTTTAAAAACGAAGTATGTTCAGAAAATAACGGAAATTTTCGAATTTAGTAGGTTTGGAAAGTCCAATTGAAACTTTTTTTATTGTATTATTATACAGTGTGACCCATTTTTAATGGAAACACCCCCCCTAAAATTTGAAGTTGTAAATCGATTTTAATATTTTTTTTTAAATGTCAAGTACTAAAAGGTCTACCTTGGGACAAAATTTGAAATGTTTAGGCTGAAAAACTTCCGGA